AGGACATAAGGGTGTCCAGGAACTCCAGGGGATTAATTGTCAAATTAATCGTTAGCGGCTAAATACCGCAATTAATCGTGATTAATTTTTTTGCCAATATTGCCCATCCCTACCAGGTACCAGTAGAGATACCAGGTACCAGTAGTAGGACCAGGTACCAGTAGTAGGACCAGGTACCAGTAATAAGACCAGGTACCAGTAGTGGGACCAGGTACCAGTAGTGGGACCAGGTACCAGTAGAGATACCAGGTACCAGTAGAGATACCAGGTACCAGTAGAGAGACCAGGTACCAGTAGAGAGACCAGGTACCAGTAGAGATACCAGGTACCAGTAGTGGGACCAGGTACCAGTAATGGGACCAGGTACCAGTAGTGGGACCAGGTACCAGTAGAGGTACCAGTAGAGAGACCAGGTACCAGTAGAGGTACCAGGTACCAGTAGTAGGACCAGGTACCAGTAGTAGGACCAGGTACCAGTAGTAGGACCAGGTACCAGTAGTAGGACCAGATACTAATAGAGAGACCAGGTACCAATAGAGAGACCAGGTACCAGTAGTAGGACCAGGTACCAGTAGTAGGACCAGGTACCAGTAGTAGGACCAGGTACCAGTAGAGGGACCAGGTACCAGTAGTAAGACCAGGTACCAGTAGTAAGACCAGGTACCAGTAGTAGGACCAGGTACCAGTAGAGAGACCAGGTACCAATAGAGAGACCAGGTACCAGTAGAGGGACCAGGTACTAGTAGTAGGACCAGGTACCAGTAGAGGGACCAGGTACCAGTAGTAGGACCAGGTACCAGTAGAGATACCAGGTACCAGTAGAGAGACCAGGTACCAATAGAGAGACCAGGTACCAATAGAGAGACCAGGTACCAATAGAGATACCAGGTACCAGTAGAGGGACCAGGTACCAGTAGTAGGACCAGGTACCAGTAGTAGGACCAGGTACCAGTAGTAGGACCAAGTACCAGTAGAGGGACCAAGTACCAGTAGAGGGACCAGGTACCAGTAGAGGGACCAAGTACCAGTAGAGGGACCAGTACTGGGACCAGGTTTCATCTTGAGGCAGGTCTCATAGGGGGTGTTATCCAGACGTGTCTGTTTATTTCAAGTGCTCATTTCTGATTGGCTGTCTGTTATCAGCAGGTCAGGCCGAGACTGGCCACGCCCACCAACGTCCCCATTGCCCCGGCCCCTCCCCCGCCCATGATGGCGGCCCCCCAGCTGCTGCAGAGGCCCGTCATGTTGGCGACCAAGCTGTCCACCTCGCTGCCCTCCTCGGCTCCCATCCACCAGGTCCGCATCGTCAACGGGCAGCCCTGCGGCAAGACAGGCTCCGCCCCCCTGACCGGCATCGTCATCACCACGCCCGTCTCCGCCGCCCCCGCCCGCCTCGCTTGCCCCGCCCAGCTGCCCGGCAACCCCGCCCCGATCCCCGCCCCTCCTCTTCCTGCCCCGCCCATCCAGATCAGCAGCCTGACCCCCGAGCCCAAGGTAAGAGTTTTGTTTGAGTTCTGTTGGACCTCGACCCGACCTGCATCCTCCTCATCCTCCTCTTCATCCTCCTCCTCTTCCTCTCAGCAGACTGTTAAAGTGGAAGCAGCCGAGCAGAAGGCAGTCGTCAGCCTGCCGTCCTCCTCCACCCCCCCGCTGTCTCCACCCCCCAGACCCAAAAAGGAGGAGAACCCAGAGGTGAGGCCTCCTTAGACCCAACAAACAAACAAACAAACAAACAAACAGTCTGAACTCGATCTGATCAAATTGTCATCATTTCCTCCTGCAGAAACTGGCCTTCATGGTGTCTTTGGGTCTGGTCACACACGACCACCTGGAAGGTGAGTGATGAAGATGAAGCTGATGAAGATGAAGCTGATGAAGATGAAGCTGCTGCTTCAGAATGAAACACTCTCAGCTGAAACTTTGATTTTTTGTCTCACAGAGATTCAGAGCAAACGACAGGAGAGGAAGAGGAGAACGACGGCCAACCCGGTGTACAGCGGCGCCGTGTTCGAGCCTGAGGTAAGATAAACCAATACCTGGTCCTGAACGGGTCAGAACCTCCTGCAGCCGACAGGAGAGCTGACACTTTACAGCAGCACTATTCAACGAAATTAACCGGGGGCCACGGTTACTACAGGCCAACAGCTGAGGGCCGAACTAAAGTTATTCTGTAAATAAACCAAGTGTTACAAAGATCTGTTAACTCTGAATGAGTTTATTTTGAGCATTTAATCGTGAATACAACAAACAGAACCCTGTAAAACTAGTGATAATTAAACAGAAAGAACACATTCTGTCTCTTATTTACAACTAATCTGTAAATACGTTACAACTAATCTGTAAATACGTTACAACTAATCTGTAAATACGTTACAACTAATCTGTAAATATGTTACAACTAATCTGTAAATATGTTACAACTAATCTGTAAATACTTTACAACTAATCTGCAAAAACATTACAACTAATCTGTAAAAACATTACAACTAATCTGTAAATACGTTACAACTAATCTGTAAATACTTTACAACTAATCTGCAAAAACATTACAACTAATCTGTAAAAACATTACAACTAATCTGTAAATACGTTACAACTAATCTGTGTGTTGAAAGTTTTTTTTCCGCTTGATTCTGAGTGAATCTGATCCAACTGAAGTCAAAAATGATTTCTCATTATTTTATATAATATATATGGTGACAAATAAATGTTTGGATAATTTTTGTAAAGAACAAACATTCAATAACAAGTCTTTTAAGGCAGGTAAGAAAAGAAATAACTTTTGGAAGTAAAAACTTCAGATTTCTTAACATTTATTAAAGGAACCATCATGGTCTGTCCTGTGCAGAAAGACAAAACACTAAATTATTTCTTTACTAAAACCTCTGTAACTTTGCTCCAGTTTATTTTAGCAGCCTGAATGTTTGTACAGGTGATGTCCACAGGTGGATTTATGGTTTCCAAGAGTTTTTACCTGATTCATTATGGTTTTAAATGAGTTATATACTGTTTAATGTGAAAATTATTCAGGTCAGAGTGAGAAAAAATTTAAAACTTCTGTTCCATCCTCAGTATGTCTAAAACTACAGCAGCTGTTTTAAAACTTACACTTCTAATAAAATCTTCCAAGTGTTGCTTTATTTTGATACCAGGATAATAGAAGTAGAGTTTGTAAATGCTGAGATACTCAGTTACATTTCAACATGGGATTTAGAGAAAAACTACAAGAAAACCCCTTAAATTAAAGAAAGTAGAAAACTGGAGGTTTGGGCTTAAGAGATGAATGAACCAATCGGTGGGCCAAACTTTGGTCACTCGGCCCGCGGGCCTCCAGTTGAATAGCCCTACTGTCTCAGAGGTAACAGGCAGACGTGTTAATGGAGACAGACAGGTAAACAGGTGTAGTTACCTGCTCTGACCTTTTTGTGTTGTTTTCACATGAAACCTGCAGGTTGGGTTGATCAGAGCTAAATTCCTTCTGTAAAGTAGTTTTTAAACATTTTCCTTGTTATTGATGATTTGTTTTTCTGTGTTTTCAGAGGAAAAAGAGTGCAGTGAGTTACCTGAACAGCCCTCTGCACCAGGGGACCAGGAAGAGAGGTCTGTATGAAAGAGTCTGCATCAGATTGAGTCGGTAGAAAGAGTTCAGATCAGGAGACGCAGCAGTGGAGACTAACCTGCTCTAACTACCTGCTGCTAACTCCTCCTCCTCCTCCTCCTCCTCCTCTCCCATTTCCTGTCGCTTCCCTTCAAACCTGATCCATGTTGGTTCATCGTCAAACAAACATGAGTCTGGTTTAACAGAGCAGAAATGCATCCTGGGAACTGTAGGTTCAGGCCGACATTAATAACGTCTGTAACAGGAAGCTGCGTCTGGAACAACTAAAGGTCAAAGGTCATAAATAACCAAACAGCTAAAGGTCAAAGGTCATAAATGACCGAACAGCTAAAGGGCAAAGGTCATAACTAACCAATCAGCTAAAGGTCAAAGGTCATAAATAACCAATCAGCTAAAGGTCAAAGGTCATAAATAACCAGGTCAAAGTTCATAACTAACCAAACAGCTAAAGGTCAAAGGTCATAACTAATAGAACAGCTAAAGGTCAAAGGTCATAACTAACCAATCAGCTAAAGGTCAAAGGTCATAAATAACCAGGTCAAAGTTCATAACTAACCAAACAGCTAAAGGTCATAACTAACTGGTCAGCTAAAGGTCAAAGGTCATAACTAACCGGTCAGCTAAAGGTCAAAGGTCATAACTAACTGGTCAGCTAAAGGTCAAAGGTCATAACTAACCGGTCAGCTAAAGGTCAAAGGTCATAACTAACCAGTCAGCTAAAGGTCAAAGGTCATAACTAACCGGTCAGCTAAAGGTCAAAGGTCATAACTAACCGGTCAGCTAAAGGTCAAAGGTCATAACTAACCAAACAGCTGAAGGTCATAACTAACCGGTCAGCTTAAGGTCAAAGGTCATAACTAACCAAACAGCTAAAGGTCATAACTAACCGGTCAGCTAAAGGTCAAAGGTCATAGCTAACCGATCAGCTAAAGGTCAAAGATCATAACTAACCAATCAGCTAAAGGTCAAAGGTCATAACTAACCAATCAGCTAAAGGTCAAAGGTCATAACTAACCAATCAGCTAAAGGTCAAAGGTCATAACTAACCAATCAGCTAAAGGTCAAAGGTCATAACTAACCGAACAGCTGAAGGTCAAAGGTCATAATTAACAGATCAGCTAAAGGTCAAAGGTCATAACTAACAGATCAGCTAAAGGTCAAAGGTCATAACTAACAGATCAGCTAAAGGTCAAAGGTCATAACTAACAGATCAGCTAAAGGTCTAACTAACAGATCAGCTAAAGGTCAAAGGTCATAACTAACCAATCAGCTAAAGGTCAAAGGTCATAACTAACCAATCAGCTAAAGGTCAAAGGTCATAACTAACAGATCAGCTAAAGGTCTAACTAACAGATCAGCTAAAGGTCAAAGGTCATAACTAACCAATCAGCTAAAGGTCATAACTAACAGATCAGCTAAAGGTCAAAGGTCATAACTAACCATCACAGGGTCAACATGAAACATCCAGACTGAGTTTAACTTTGAGTCAGATCTTCATCGTCTCTAACAGCTGCTAGTTCTGACAGGAAGTTGATTCTCTAACCTGTGTGTGTGTGTGTGTGTGTGTGTGTGTGTGTGTGTGTGTGTGTGT